CTTAGCCTCCAGGATCGGTTAGGCCTCGCCAAAGTCAAGTATCAGAACGGACGTCTACAGGCACTCGGACCAAACCATAATGGCGGAATACAGGTGTGCTTGGGAAGTGACAGGCCGTCGGATTCTTCGTCGGAGGTCTCGCACAGCCGGAGTGAAACCCCATTGACTCCGCCTCCCTTGCCAAACTCGTCATATTCCAAGGAGCTTCCTCGATCATCTCGGAATAGACATGCAGCAACTTTCGATTCCAAGGCAATGCAGCCTATGCTGTCTGCCAGCCGAAAGCGTCTGCGATCCGACTCGATTACAGATCGTACGGTCAAAGCCCCGCGGGTTTCTTGGAAGAGTTCACACCACCTGCCCGAATCGTCTCCAGGCTTCAACCGACAGCACCTGAGCCGACACCTTCCCCTCCCCTTCATGTCAGATATCCCCGAGTATTCCTCACCGGCGTATCCGCATCACTCAGAAGACGACAACGACCCCGACCTTCCCGTTCATAGTTTTCAGCATGTCAGTTCTATGGCAGGCTCTTCACCTCCCCGCACGCCTCCTCCCAAGCACGCCCGCCTATCACGGAATGACCGCCAATTGCGGCATGCAGATGGAGCAGATTTGCTTCTGTACCTGGCCAATTCTCCAACCCCGGCCAAACCTCAGCAGGTGCGGGATTTCCCCCCGTCGACTCCTCCAAGCCAGCACGCCGCTCTGCCGTCGTTGACCCCGACTCCTGGCGGCGGCGGCGTCTTCCCCAATTTCGGTACCCCGAACCAACAGTTCAACTTTGCCGACTTTGTGAATGTGACACCCAGTCCGGCTCAACCTCCCTGGGGCGGTCGCACGCCTGGAGGGCCCTCGAAGACGCCCCTTGCCAACAAGGAGCGAAAGAGGTCTAATCTCGACGGCCTGCTGCCGCCGAGTACGGACAGCCCGAGGAACCGCGGAAAGGGGCCTGCCATGGTCCTCCAACTCGGTGAAGAGCTGCGACCGGAAAAAAGCAAATAAATCTGGATGTACAGATTCTACCCTTCTTGTCTATGCATTTCCGCCTAACCCCATTGCTTATGACTCCTAATGACTGTTATGTTCTACCCCCTACATACCCCGCCGCTGTATCCAATGTCTAGTCACTTTCCTTGTGTTATCCGGCCACGCCCTGTCATGGACCGGTATTATCGAAATAATGTACACGCCATCTGTCCATATTACATACCCCTTGTTCTTTATGCCATGTTTTCCAGAGGACTATTGGAAACTGATTTCCTTTGTGTGCAAGCCATATCGTGTGACCCACTGTTCGGTTAATCTTGACGTTCGTTACCCTTACCATCAACCACAGACATTCATGATATTGCTCTGATCAAGCAAAATACAATAGTACGCATACAAATACGATATGCATCGAATATAACCAGTAATCAGCCAGTACGCTACTGTAAAACCTGGTCAAATAAAAGTCTACCTCATGACGTCTACACTCGGCAGACCGCGTCGACCCTGTAAACTATCATCAGGAACGGTATCTGAAACCGAAAGTAAAACATCGACGACTTTGACGTCACGCAATCATACATTCTAAATTCTAATATCCACAACCATATCCTCTAATTTGCCAAAGACATATACTACTCACCTTATGACGCTAACATACATGTTTAAACATCGATACCAATCCCACCCATTACAGCCCACATCCTCCGTAAATCCGTAAAAAAAACATCCCCAAGAAATTCCCCTACAATATACATACAACACGGAAAGTAAGTAAAAAAATAAAATAAAATAAAATAAAATAACGTAACTAGAATCACGAAAAATACCAAGACCCCGCAACACCATTCCACCGGAAAAGGAAAGGAAAGGAAAAAAAGAAACCGACCCGTGTGCGGCCAGCCACTAGCTACTCTGCAAAAAAAATAGGGAAAATTCGTGTTTACGCGACGCGTATGAAAGTTTAATGTTTGATCGTGTTGATTTCGCGTTTGGGTTAGGTCGTTTTGGGTTTAGGGTGGGATTCGGTTGGATCGGGGAATTTGCTTGTTTGGGGTTAGGGTGAGATCGGGGGATCGAGATCCCGATCCCGGGATTACTTATCTACGTAGCTGTGAGTGTGTGTAGGTAATAGGTATGACTTGGTGATGAGGGAAGAGGGGCAAGTGCTGGTTTTTTAAGTTGTCTCATGGAGGACTTTGTAAAGAGGGGTTGTTTTTTTTGTAGTAAGTGTATTTATTGTATATATGTGTTTTACTTCCAACGCTCACAGTATCTAATTACTCCTCTTGCTCCTCACCCGGCTCCTCACCACCACCACCCTCCAACTTCGTTCGTTCTGATTGCTTCCTCCATAAATAAGCCAAGTAATCAGACGTGGTAGCCTCATCGATCGATTTGTCCTCTCTGACTTTGAGGAATCGAGGAAACCGCAGGCTCAGACCCCGTTCATCGCTGACCAATCCCAGAGCGGCCGTGTATGTAGGACTAAGCGTGATATCTGCGAACGCCATCTCCCAGACTTCCTGTGGTTCGAACCATACGTCTGGCTCGCCGTAGTATTCGACGTAGCTGGGGCGGGATATAACATTGGGGGTACCCTCCGCGTACTTGTCCTTGTTGGCTTGGTAGAATTTGTCCGTAAAGCCCGACATACACTTTGTTACTGCCTCTAGACTTCCGGTTTCTGGGTTTCGAACCGCAAGGAGGATCGGGGACCACCATTTCGCCTTACGGCCTTGACCGTGCCAGCCCGCTACGGGGATTAGGTCCAGGGTTTCGGATGAAGTGCTGTAGTCTTTTTTCACTTTGAGCCAGGATTCGAGGCGCTTGTCGGGCTCGTAGGTGGACAGGAGGGCTTTTCGGCGGGTGTTTTTGGAGGGTTTGTTGTCTGTCGTGTTGGTGGTTGGTTGGCCCGGTGTGGTGGGTGTTCCGTTGGTAGCAGTATCGACAGCTGGTGTTTCCACTCCTTCGAGATCTGGTTTCGGCATGTTGTCGAGCACTTTGACCATGATGCCTTCGCATTTGGTGTCTGTGGCGCTCTTGAAAAACTCTAGTACTGCTTCGGAGTCGGCTGAGGTGGCGTCTAGACTCTTTACCCATGTGAACCGTTTGGGGATCTCTACGAATAAGCTCCGTAGCAGCTCTCTTCGCTCGCGGAGTGATCGGTCGAGCAGTGGCTGGCCATTTAGGTACATTAGGTCGAAGGCAAATAGACAAACGTTGACCTTGATCGCTCCGATATCGACGTTCTTTTTCGCACGGTTGGTCAGGATTTGAAAGGCCTGTAGTTCGCCCGTTTCTTGGTCAACGGCGACAACTTCCCCTTCGAGGATGAAGCTCGATACGCCTTCTCCTCTTATTTCTGGGACAAGAGACACCAGGTCTGGGTATTTCTCTGTCATGTTCTCCAAATGGCGGGAGAATATTGATACTTTGCCCTGTACATCGCAATGCACTTGCGCACGCTGTCCGTCATATTTGTATTCACAGCTAAAGTCGCGCCCTTGTAGCTTCGTCAGCATGTCTGACAGGTCCCTTGTGATGCTGCCTAGCATGGGTCTCAACGGGATGTGCAGTTGAAGACCGCAGCGAACAAGAAGTTCATCGGTAGCCCCGACTTCAAGCAAGCAGGGAACGAGGTCATCGTAGTCCGGGTGTCTCGCATACGACGCCTTAACGATCTCTTCTGCGTTGCCGTAGATTTCAGCTAATTCCTCTTTCTTCATCTGCGCCATCTCCTTTTGAGAGTAGATTGGAAATTCCGCCCCCTCTGGTTTGGAGTACAGGAATGCCCTAGCCAGCGCAATGAGCATAGTAGTCTTTACAGCGCCGATGCGTAGATTCTGCACCAGAGTTCTAACAATATATCGACTCTCCTCCGCACCACGGGCATCTTGCAGAAGCTTCTCCACAATCCTTTGCTTCGTCTCCTGACTGCCACTCCCTTTGCTCATAGCTATCTTCTTGAGCGACTGATAGACACCTTTTATTCGCAGCGGTTTAGGCTTCATCAATGTAAAAGACTGTCTCTTCTTGGCCTCGAATGCCACATCGCCAGCATCGCCGTGCTTGTCATAGAGAGTTTTAAGGCCTTGACTGTTCAATCCGTAGACCTTTTTGAGTGCCTTTGATATCGAAGAACCGCCAAGTCCCAACTCCAATTCGTCGTATGGAGGGGATATCGAATTAGTCGCAAGCCATACAGCGGGAAGCACACTGGACGGGTCGGCTTCGATCAACACGCGGAGGAAATTGACCAATGTATCGACGATCTTGATGCGACTAGTTGTGGCGTTTGCGAGCACAAAAGCTCTGGTCAGGAGGGCGTACGAAGCGTCGCCACCTTCCGAAGCCCAGTGTCCTTGCAGCTCGCGCGCATATTTGGAGGCATCGAACGCGATAGGACTCTGATCGAAAGGAACCGCAAGAGACACAGTGTCTTCCGTACCTGTGGATGACTGCAATGACAGGATGCCCTTCTTCTGCATGTTGGTTGGCTCCCGATCGTTATCACCGGTGTTTGATTGTGCTGAAGTAGGCTCATCGCTCGGCGTATCGGCCTGCGGGTTTGAAAGCGCATGCTCCTGGTCCCATTCAGCCTGCAGCTTACGAGCAAGCGCTTCGTCCGAAAGGGTTTGTTCTGTGGGAGCTTCGGGCACAGCTTCAAATTCCTGCTGCGTCTTCTCGGCTTGCTTAGCAGCCTGGCCCTGGAAGAATGACGCTATGCTCCGGGTGCGCTGCGCGGTAGATCCGGGATCATCCCTCTTGCGTTTCTTAGCTGGGCTGGACATGTCGAAGGTATATATAATTCACTCATTCATTGATTGATTCATCTAGGAGTACGATGTAGGACAATGGCATGCGACATTGGCCATCTCGCGCGCTCCATAGTGGCTGCGATGCGGGCGGGAGTGACGTTACATGTGGTGGAGTCGGAGATGAGCTGGAGCAAAGGGCGGAAATGCCCAAGGCGGAGTTAGCGACACCTCGTCTTTCTCCCCGTGTTTCTTCCCCGCCAGCTTATCAACAATGGCGACTCCAGCTTCTGCTCTGTCGTCGCATGAGAGGACGCGGGTTGAGGATTATCTGAATGACAAGCTGCAGGTAACTGCCGACTTGGAAAGTCTCGACTCGTTGCTGTCGAGTCTCCGAGCCCAACATGAGCTCCAACGCAAGCAGGTAGAGCGTTTGACCATCCCCAGATCAATAGCAGACATTCGAATACTCTTGCTGACAGCTGACTGTAAAGCTAGCAGAAGCTCACGAAGCGCTATCGAATGCCACAAAAGCCTCCGAAGACCATGCCGAAGCCACTCGAAAGCAAGCCGAAGCGTTCAACGAGCAACAGGCCGATATCGATCGGCGTTTGAGAGATCTCACGGGGTCGGATTCTAGCGATGAGGCAGCGAAGCGCTTTGAAGCGAGCATAGAGAAGCTGCGGAGGCTTGAGATTTCAAGAGGCTACATGACTTTGCTCAAGGAGGCGGAGGAGCTGAGGTATGAAATAGTAGCGTATTGGGCAAGACAACGGTCGCTGATCTCCAATACAGCAAGGAGGCCTTGGACAACATCAAAGATCAACCCCGGATCGCGATTCAGTCGTATACCCGACTGCGCAACGTTGCCCAGAGCCTTAAAGATGCTCAGCCAGCTGCAGAAGGAGCTGCCCCTCACCTGGTCGACTACGTGGGGAAGCTATCGTCCGCCCTCAGGGAGCAAATGAAATCAGACTTCGCCCAACGACTACAAGGAACAATGGAGCAAATGAAATGGCCCTCGAAGGATCTTCATTTTCCGGAGGATATACAGACACAGTGGAGGGAGAATGTGGAACTGCTTCTGGGCCTGCAGAAACCGTACGTGGCATCAAAGACAACTTCAAAGGTTGGGTGTAACCTGTCAGCTATAGGGAGCTCGAGACTCATACCAATGTGTCGAAACGCCATGGCGTTGAGCCGCCAGTTCTTCTACCATTGGAAGTTATAGTGCACCCGCTCGAACTGCGCTTCAAGTACCATTTCAGCGGAGACAAGCCGACAAATAGGCTTGACAAGGTACGTACATCGTTTGCAGTAACGAAAACTAGTTTCTAACTCAGGATAGCCCGAATATTTCCTGGCTCATGTTATGGACCTGATCAACAACTTTGGGGGATTCTTCGCCTCGTTCCTCCAACCCATCTTCGATCAAGAGGCGCAGAATGTCGGCACTGACATAGGGTGGAACTTCTACAATGCCTCTCACGCTTACATCACAGCCCTCCTGCCAGTGCTGAACCATAAGATAACTACGTTTCTGCCTCAGATCGCGAATCACCCGCAGCTTCTGAGCCACTTCATGCATGAACTGATGAACTTTGACAACGAAGTTCGCGAGTTGTGGAACTACCTACCGGACCCTTACTCCACCGACGACTGGCGGGGAATGACTTGGGAAGTCTTGACCAAGCAAGGCTGGTTTGACCGCTGGCTTCAGGTCGAAAAGGAATTCGCATTGGCCCGCTACAAGGAGATCGTCGACACCCCGGATAGCGGCCACATCGACTATGAAGGCGTCGATTTCACTTCCACCAAGCCCACCAAGGCTGCAATCCGAGTGAACGATCTTCTCGAGACAATAACGGAGCGCTACCAGCCCTTGTCTTCGTTCAGCCAGAAGCTGCGCTTCCTCATTGACATCCAAATCACCATCTTCGACCAATTCCACGAACGCCTGCACTCAGCACTCGAAGCCTACCTCGCCATGACCTCCGCCATTGGCCGCACCGTCCAAGGCGCCGACGCCGCCAGCATCGAGGGCGTGGCCGGGCTCGAACGACTGTGCCGAGTCTTCGGCAGCGCCGAATACCTCGAGAAGAAGATGGAAGACTGGAGTAACGAAGTCTTCTTCGTCGAACTCTGGACCGAGCTCCAAGACCGCGTTCGACAAAACAAAGACAGCGGCAAAAACGTAGCGGGCACCATGTCTATCGCAGACGTCGCATCCCGCACCTCCCAAGCCGTGAACAACAACAGTCACGACCAAAGCACCGGTGCATCCTCATCAGAAGGCGCTCTCTTCGACGAGACTGCCTCCGCCTACCGCCGTCTCCGTCTCCGTTCAGAATCCATCATCACCTCCACTCTCACTTCAAACGTGCGCTCCGCTCTGAAACCATATTCCCGTGTCGCCACCTGGGCTTCCATATCCACGAGTAACACCACTACTCCTCTCCCTCCCACCTCGGACCTCGCCCCAGCCATGCGCACCCTCTCCACCGAGATCACCTTCCTCTCTCGCGCACTGGGAGTCGCCCCGCTCCGCCGCATCACCCGCCAGGTCCTCCTCGCCATCCAGACCTACTTCTGGAGCAGTGTACTCACAAGAAACACTTTCTCCGCGTCTGGTGCCGCGCAATTTATCAGCGACGTCGAACATCTCTGCAGTGTCGTTGACACTGCCCTGGGAAGCGGAGCAGGGCAGCCAACAGCTGGCAGTTCTATCAAGAACATGAAGAAACTAGCGGAGGGACTTGTTCTCTTAGGTTTGGAGAACTCGGCTGATGCGAAGACTATTACTACCGCGGAGGATTCAGAAGTCGAGGGAGACACACGCCCCGGGTTATGGGAGGTTGAGAAGCGACTCTTTAAGGATAATGAAAGCGCGCGGGTTGTGCTTGCGGAACTGGGGATCGAGAGTTTGACGGAGGCGGAGGCGAGAAGCGTGCTTGAGAGACGGGCGGAGATTGGTAATTAGTTTGAGGAGGCGCACCGGGGCTGTGTATATATGGATGATGGTAGTAGTAATTAGTAAGTAGTAGCATGAGATATCCATTGTTAAAATTCACTGTGCATTCAAATATAATCTTATCATCTCATTCACTAGATTCCTCGTTATATACTACCCACCCTGTATGTATGTATATACACTCTATATCTATACCATCCCATCTATAGCCCAGACTTTTGTTTCTACAGTACTCCCAAAACATATCTAACAGATACATAGTAGTAGTAGTAACCAACCCCACCCCTCAAAGATGCACAACAGGACCATGACCCCTCTCCCCCAACCTCCTCGTCGACACCTCCCCGGCACTCTCCCTCTTCAACCTCTGCACAATCGCCGGTCCAACCTCCTCAATCGCCCGAATCAGCCCCTCAACCGTCTCCCTCGTCGTCTGAACATTCACCACACACCGGAAAAACTTCCCATTCCCGACAGCATCCTCATCCCCACTCGGCGGAGCAAAGTCCACCATGAATCCCTTCTCCACAATCGCATGCGTAATCTGCTCCGTGACCTTACTATTCGCTTTCCCGCGCTCCGTCTCATTCGAGACCAGCCCGCGGGGATGCACGTACGCGCGGTTCGGCGCATAATGGAAGCACACCTGCAGACACGGCGGCGGGTTCTCGCTGACGAGGACGAAGTTGGGGTTCTGCTCGACCAGCGTAGCGAGATGCGCTGCTACGGCGCAGGCGGAGTCGATTTGTTGCTCGTACCCGGCCGTGCCGTAGTAGGTCCAGCTGAGGAAGAGCTTGAGGGAGTCTGCGCGACGGCCGCATTGGAGGGTGAGGTCCGCGAGGTCCCAGACCTCCGGGGAGTCGACGACGAGTTCGGTCTCGCCGTTGAGGGAGTCTGGTGCAGCGGCGGCGGTGTCGTCGTTGTGGAAGAGGTAGCCGGCGGGGAGGGTGTTGGCGAGATGGAAGCGACGGATGTCGGCGGCGAGGAGGAACGAGCAGGTGACGGGGACGCCGAGCATTTTGTGGGGGTTGATGGCGATGCTGTCTGCTTTTTCGGCGCCGGAGAGTTTGGCGCGTTGGGAGGAGGAGAAGATGAAGGAGCCGCCCCAGGAGCCGTCGACGTGGAACCACAGGTTGTATTTCTTGCAGATGGCGGCGATGTCGTGGAAGGGGTCGAAGGAGCCCAGGACGGTTGTGCCGGCGGTGGCGTTGACGTAGAAGGGGGTGCGGTCCTCGGCGAGGGCTTTTTGGACGAGGGCTTCGAGCTCGGAGGGGATCATGCGGCCTTGTTTGTCGATGGGGACGGCCCAGACGGAGGAGCTGCCGAGGCCGAGCATTTGAGCGGCTTTTTCGATGCTGTAGTGGCCGTGGGCGCTGGTGAAGAGCACGAAACGGTAGTTGCCATTGCCGTCTTTCTTGGTGCTGGGGTAGAGGTTGTTGCGCGCGATCACGATCGAGGTGGTGTTGGAGGCGGAGCCTCCTTGGACGGAGATGCCTCCGGCGCGGGGGCCATTGAGGCCGAAGAGAGAGGCGAGTTGCTTGCCGGTGTGTTTCTCAATGACGGTCAGGGCTGGGGAGACCTGGTAGACGTGGACGTTGGTGTTGAGCGCCGCCAGGATAAGCTCCGACGCTACGCCGGGGGCGTTGGTTGATGCATAAAGCTTGTCGAGGAATCCCTGGTGCCATGTGTTGACCGAGTAGCGCAGAACCTTGCGCAGGACTTCGATGAGTCCGTCTTGTCCGGTTCCTTGGTCGGGGAAGTCTAATTGGAGGAGCTTCTGCAGCTCTTCGGGCTTCTTGTGTTCGACGAGGGCCGTGCCTCGAGGCTTGGAGTCGCCATTGGTGCCGTTGTGCAGCGATTGCTGGGCTAAAGGGTCCTCATCGGCGCTTCGGATGAACGGAATCAGCAGATCCTCGACGGCTTTCAGAAGCTGTAGAGCAGTCAATGCAGTCAGTATGGTGCGTATTGAAGGAAAGGATGATGCCAGTGGCTCATAGAGACAGGAGCTAGGGTCGAGGAATTCGCGCCGGCTCATCAGAAGTGAAAAAGAGCATGACTCACATTTTGTACTTCATCGGCGCGACTGGCCGGCGGGGCAGAAGCCATGGATGCGGGGAGAGAGATTGGAGGAGTTGAGGAGGGATCGGGGAATATACAAGAGGATATTGAGAAGTGGACAAAGGAGAGAGACTGTACACGGCGATACGACAACGATATCGAAGGGGAATTATCAAGAAATTGTAGAGAAAAAGCAGCTCATGGAGTAACCATTGTGGCTGTCAAAAGTCAATCGGAAGAGCAGGCGGAAGGCGAGAGGATCCACTGAAGTGATGACATTTTCCGGGTATTCGCCATCATGACCCAGTCTTTGGTGGAGATCCGGCACTGGTGGCCGTTCAGGAACCATTCATACTTCAGACCAAAGACCCTAGTACTCTGAAGAGTATGAGATTTGCATTGGATTCCAGCTGTGTGCTGATAGGTTGGTATTACATGCCCTGATCACGACTTTTTCAACCCCAATCACCTCATAACACGCCCAGAAGATATAGCTAATATACATGGTCATAGCACCAATTATGGTTCATTATACATGGAAAAGAAGAGGGTCAAATTATACGGAAGAATAGATGGCAGAAATGTGTCGTCCACATACCACGCGCTGCTCCATGCTCACCGTGCGACGGTCGACCTTGCCCTTATGGCGAGGCATGATCTGGAGGCGTGCTTCCTGCTGCTCGTCTGCATCCTCCGGCGGGGCGTGGATGTAGTTCGGCTTGGACAGGTTACTGCGCTTGCCTGTGCCCAGCTGGAAGTGCTCGTTGCCTCCCCACCAGAGCGCATCGTATCCCCAGTCACGAGTATCATTCAAGGTGCTGGAGGGAGCTGAATCCACATGGGTGCTGTTGTTCATGACCGCGGAGACGTGGGTCGTGCCGACTGAGAGATCATGGATGCGGATGGGCGTCAGGCGGTTGGTCTTCTCGTCGAATTCGGAAAGACCACTCAGCGCCTTCACCTTGGCGAGTGAATCCTGTACGTGGGTCCATTTGCCGGTACCCAGAGCTCCCCAGATGCCCCGTCCGCAAGCCCAGGTATCGGCAGTGATGCGTCCCAGGTCACGGAGGGTGGCAGGATCCTCCTTGGAGCTGAGTATGCGCTGCGCATCCACGGTGAAGAAGCTGTTGGCACCTCCGGCCGCAACCCGAGTGGCCTTGGGCAACCAGGGACCGCGGTAGAGGTTCCTGATGGGCACCAGAGTCGGGGTGTCGCAGAAAGGCGAGGACGGGTTGAACTCCATCGCCAACTGTCCAAAAGAGTTGTCGCCAAAAGCGAACACATTGCCGTCCTTGTCAAGGGCGAGCGAGTGGTAATCACCCGCAGCAATCTGGACGATCTTGGAACCCTTGAGCGCAGTAATCTCGTGAAGGGCATCCACCGGTCCCTTGGGGCGAGTAGCCCAGGTCAAGCCGGGGATACCGAGCTGTCCAAAGGAAGGGTAATTCTCAGTAGAAGCCGCAACGGAGAACACCCGGCCGGAGCTGGTCAAGAGTAGAGCATGGTCGAGTCCGCTGGCGAGAGCGGTTACACGCTCGCCCAGCTTCAATGTCGGCTGCAGCAAGCGGTAGCTAATACTGGATGTTCCCGAGCGGAAAGGCACCCATGACCCTTCCTTGGTCTTGCGGCCACCCAGTTGGTCCTCCTTGGCAATGGGTAGTGAATAGACATTGCCGTCCGAGGACAATGCAAGGATCCGATCGTTGGACATGCACAACGAAGCCAGATTCTTGCCGGTAAGAGTCTTTGTGGGCTTGAATTCAGTCTCTGAATAGCCCTTGCCCCATTGGACCAGGTCGCCGTTCTCCGTAATGGCTGCTCCGGACCTCTCTCCGAGCTTGAGGTCTCTGAGCACTTGACCTTCAAAGTAGGCAAATTTCCGGGGAGTCTTCACCACAGACTCCTTGGATTCCGGATCAACCACACGATAGGCGTTATTGCCCCAGACATAAACACCGGGACTCTTAACACTCCGCTTGTGCTGTACGTACTGCGAGCTCAGTTCCTCGGCGGATTTAGCCAGGTCTTTCACCTTCTCCACTGGCTTCTCAATCTGATTCCGGTTGGATGTAGCATATTCGTAAATAAAAACGGCAGCAGTGCCTGCTCCCGCCATGCCCAAAGAGTTCCGGAGCCAGTTCGAGTTAGCCGATGGCTCCGGTCCCTTGTTACTGCTGGCATAAGATCTGCGCCAGGGCGTGGCGATAGATCGGTTGTTTCTCACAAGGCGACGTGAAGAGTTGGTGACGACGGTGGTCACCGATTGCCGCCCCCGATGAGTCCACATGATGTTTGGCAGTGCTTAATGGTTTCGCACGCCGACACTGAAGTTAAATTCCAATATTCTTGTTTATTCCCGAGCGGATCTTGATCGATCAATGAGAAAGAGGCAAAACATCAGCTGGATGTTGCGTCCAAGTCGCGTAGGCGGAAGGCAACGGCAGAATAGCGCATTGAAGCCACGCCGGATTCATTGCTCCTCGGTCTTTCCCTGCGCCTGGGCTCAGGGTTTGACAGGGATTGTTTACCTTGATTTTATGGGGGCTTTGATGCAGAGGCTGTAAGGCACATCTTTTTAACACTTAAGAATTTCCCACAATGCGTCAAAAAGCTGCAGGACAGCGAAGTCGACGCCAAACTGCCCCGTCGGGCCGGGCTTTGGAACAGAAGGTCAAAGAGGCCACCGAACTTGAGACGATCCCGGATGGTGTGGACTCAGTTACCGATATTCGCAATGAGCTGGAATTTGCGCAATGGTACAATGAAGTAGAGGAGAGCCTGCTGGAAGCTAGCTACGATGAATACCAGTACGCCCATCCGCGGTTCACCCCCACAGAGCCCCTGGTCCATGCTGACATCAATTGTTCTTAGAGCTTGTCTCCAGGAGCTTCAAATGTCCAAGTCCCATCTCGATTCCTTATTGACCGATACGTCGTCGACCCTCGACCTTTTGACTAGCCTCTCAAACGACTTTAGAGCCGTGGAATCGCAGACCTCTCAATTCCGGAAACAATGTGAGGGGCTGCTCTCTGCGCAGAAGCATGACTCGGATTTGGCAGAGGATATCCAAGAGAACCTCCAGTATTATGACTTTCTGGATCCTGCGTCGAGGAGACTGAATGCCCCCGGGGCTGGAAATACAGTCCGTGGGAAGGATTTCTCGGATATGCTACGGCGTCTCGACGAATGCCTGGATTACATGGAGACACATGTCAGTATACATCACAATGTCTATCGCACTCCAGCTAATTGGTCCTGTTTCACAGCCCGATCAAAAGGAAGCTGGTGTATACCGCTCCCGGTACCGTTTACTCATGACCCGTGCCCTCACCTTGATCAGAACCCACTTTGTGTCCTCCCTCCGCGATGTATACGCCGATGCGTCGAAGAAGATCGCAGATAAGCAGCTCAACGACACAACCATGTCCACACTGCTCTACGCCAAATTCAGAGTTGGCGCGCCGGAACTGAAACAGATCGGACTCGAAATTCAGAAGCGTGCCGTTCCGCCTCTAGACCCCGACCAGGGCACCGAAGCCGAATACCAGAGCCTGCTCAACGAGCTGCATGCGAACTACGCAGCCACGCGCGGGAAACTGATCATCCCCCTCGTCTACAAGAACCTCAACGACCTCGCGCAGTCTCCGACATCCTCCCAGGATCTCGTCTCCTTTGCCCGCGCCAGCATCAGCTACATCCGCGGCGTATGCCTTGACGAGTTCGAACTCTGGGGCGAGTGGTTCCACGGCCACGGCGGACTCTACGACTTCCTAGAAACAATCTGCGAACCGCTCTACGACCACCTCAGACCGCGCATCATCCACGAAGACAAGATCGTCAAGCTCTGCCAGCTCTGCACCCTCCTTCAAACCCGATACCTGCTCGACCAGGACGAGGAGATCGAGCAACAAGTCGACGCCAACCAGCTCGACTTCCCAGCGTTGATCCAACCCGCGCTCGAAGACGTCCAAACCCGCCTCGTCTTCCGCGCGCAAGCTTTCCTCCGCGACGAAATCGAGCGATACAAACCTCGCCCCGAAGACCTCGACTACCCAGCCCGCAACAAACAATTCTCCATATCCGTCACCGAAGGCCAAATCAGCGGCCGCAAGATCACCTCCACAGACACTCCCTCCACAACGACACTCCCAACCCGACCCAAACCCACAACCAAACCCAGCAACGACAGCGACCCATCATCAACGACCCCCGAAGACACCACTACCACCGCCACCACAAAATGGGACCTCGAGTCCCCAACAACACAAGACCAAAGCGGTTGGTACCCAACCCTCCGCAAAGCCATCTGGCTCCTAAGCCGGATCTACCGTCTCGTCAACGTACATCCCTCCCCATTCCCACCCCCAAACCCTAACTCCCCTCCATAACAATTAACTAACACAAACAAACCAGTCCACCGTCTTCGACGACCTCGCCCACCAAATCGTGCACCAAACCACGACCTCCCTCCACAGCGCCAGCACCCTCCTGCGCACAAAAACCACCCCGACAGACGCGCACCTCTTCCTCCTCAGCCACCTCCTAATCCTCAAACAACAAATCGTCGCCTTCGACATCGAATACACCACGCCCGAAACCACCCTCGACTTCTCCGCCATGACCTCCACCTTTTACGAGCTGCGCTCACGCGGGGGTCTCTTCAACCCGCGCAACCTATTCAAACTCGTCGGCCATGGCCTCCTCCCCCGGGTGGTGGAGAACATGCTCGACGCGAAGGTCGAACTCGACGGACGGCTCCGCACCGTGATTAACGAATTCATCAACGAGTTCGCGGCGGGGAAGATGACGGCGTCGTTGCCGGCTAGGGCATCATCTGGAAATCTTCCCTCTGCTGGGGGCTTGATGGATACATTGTGCGGGAATGTGGAGAGGGAGGTGGCGAGTTTGAGGAAGGTGTTGGGGGAGTATTTGGATGATGGGCGCATGAGGGAGACGCTGGTGGGGGCGGTCCAGGATCGCGTGATTCAGATTTATGAGGAGTTTTGGGAGATGTATGTTGATGCGGAGAGGAGGAGGGGGAATTTTGTGAGTAAGAAGGGGAAGGGGAGGGAGGATGAGGTTTGGGATGTGGATACTTTTGCGGAGTGGTGTGAGGGGGTGTTTAGGGTGGGTTTTGTTGGGTTGGGGAGGGATGAGGATGATGATGATGAGGAGGGGAATTTGAGTGGGGGTGGGAGTGTAAGGTCTTGATAGTATGGACTTTTATTCTTGTACACTGGTAGTACTAGTAGATATTAGTATTTTTATTTTCTGGAGTTGAAATGTATATACAGTGTATTGAAAATGAAAACGGGACAAGACACTTTTTTCTGTGATGGTGTCTCAAACAGTCACCGAACCAAGAGAGACTAGGCATATCCAGAATCTTATTCAAACATTTAAGCTCACCCAGCCAAATTCCGTCAAACAAAACTATGCCACACCGAATGCGAAATGCTGCCGATTTGGGTATGATGCAGGGGAGAGGAAACAAAATGCATAGTCGAAACGCTGGAAGAGAGAGATGCTTGGGAATATAGGACTGAACTTCGTGCTAGTTGGGGTGGTGCTTTACAGGACGTGGCGGATTTTGGCGTAGAGCTCGGTATCCAAGAAATTGTACTTCGGGTCGGGTTCGCAGAAGGGATGGGTTAGGAGAGTCTCAGCAGTTGGCCGATCACGCGAGTCCCTATAACATGTCAGTCTAGAAGAAATGGGTTCTAGAAGGCAATGTCACTTACACTGTGAAGCAGTCGTACATAAAGGCGAGCGCTGCTGGTGTGATGTTCATGGAAACATCTTCAGGGATCGGAGGGGCTTGACTCAAGCTACCCAGCTTGAAAATCGCACCAATAGCTTCTTCCTTGCTCCACGGCCGGCGTCCAGCAAACATCTCCAATACCACACATCCCAGAGACCAGATGTCCACCTTGGCGCTGTACCCCTGTCCTTGGGACTGGATGACCTCTGGCGCCATCCAGAAAACCGAGCCCTGCATGGAATTGGTCGAATCGTTTCCGTAGATGTTGTCTGTCTTCTTAGAAATTCCGAAGTCGGAGATCTTGCAGGTTCCGTCCAGATCCAGGAGAATATTGTCGGCTTTCAGGTCGCGATGGAGAATTCCCTGGTTGTGGAGATAGGCCAGCCCACTCAGGGTCTGATGCGTCAGAGACTTCACCACGCTCTCCTCAAACTTGCCATGCTTGCGAAGACAACTGCCGATAGAGCCACCGGAAATATATTCGAGATAGATTGAGATGGAGAACTCGCCTCGCTCGCAACCCAAGTACTGCACAATGTTAGGATGCTCAAGATGTTGCATGGTATCAATTTCCTGGTCCATCGCTGCGACCATCTCCTTGATGCGGTCCTTGTCTGTTCCGGCAATCCGAGGATTGACCTCCACTTGCTTCACAGCCAAGACCTCACCATTGTCAGCGTTCATGCCGAGGTATACGCGGCCATAAGTTCCCTTGCCGATGAGCTGACCACGGATGATGCGGAAAGTGGGCTGTCTTTGAGGGATATTGCCCGCAGGCGCCTGGTTCTGGGGAATAGGGTCCAGCTGGCTAAGTCGGCTGCCACGCTTCGGACTGATTTGCATAATCTTGGCGCCGAACATCTTCGTGCTCTTGCGGCGCAAGATATCACCTGATCTTTGATTGCCGGTATTGGCCGTCACACTCCGATTCCTACTAGCTTGATTGGCACCTTTTGCCACTTCTCGAATCGATTTCATGCGTGTGAGTCCACCGCCAGAGCGACTGACGTTCCGTCGAGCAACGACTCCTGGATCCTGAGGCTTGATGGTTGGCTCGCTAGAGCCAAGGGTATTCTCGCTTGGGGGCGCGGGTGTATGTGGTGTGGGGTGCGGTACAGCTTCTGGTTTATCCTTGGGAATTATGTCGTTGTCGGTTGCAACCTTAGATGCTGGGGATGAAGGGGGTGACATGCCTTGCCCGTCAAGGTAAGGGGTATCGAGATCAATGTCCGGGAAGAAGTCATCGAGGTGATCAATAACGCCCTCGACTGGAGGTCTGCTTGCCCACAGGTCTCCTTGGGCAAAGGAATCCCTGCGAGGTGGCTTCTCTTCCTCCGGCGAAGCACTCATGTCAAGGAAGGACGGGTTCCTGTTGCCTGACTCCCCGCTTGAACTGGCGAACGTTTCGCGGGTAGCACTTGGGGACCTGAAGCTAACGGAAAGTCCTTTCCGTAGCCTATTCTCAGTGTTCAGCGTGAGAGACGGTTTCCCGGCTCGCCTTTGCGACTCAGGCGAGACGGACACTGGCGGGTTTTCTTTAACCGGGGTCTTGGTACTCGCGATGGGAATGGCGAAAAGACCATCATCGGAGTCCTCGTCGGAGTCTTCCT